CATTTCATGAAAATAAGAATTAGAAAATATCCCCTTTGCATGATAAATGTTTAAAAAATATTATGGATACGAAGGAAACACTGTATATCAAATTCTTAGTTAAATGATATTAAATGAATAAAGGCAGCGATACTATTTTTTGCAACCGGGCGGCCAACGACACAGGAACGGCCCTGTGTATATTCTATGCCTAAAAGAGGCTTTGAAACCGAAGTAGTCCAGCGATTCACAGAATCTATTGACATTACACGATTAATGCAATTATATCGGTTATATTTCTTGTACAACGAGGATTGTGATTCGTCACGGTTCGCGCACGCTTAATCGATCGAATAATCAGAAACAAGCTGGGTAGACCCGATGAACGCTTCGTTTAAATCGATCACCACGTAAAGGTTATGCAGTAGACATTTAAGGCGATATTCTCGACGTAAGGGACGCTTTTACTTCCTGCTCAGGCCCTCGGAACTGTCGCTATCGTTATCGTTATCTTATCTCTCGACGAAATCAGTGAGGAACCACGAGTTCCAGATCGTTGGATCTACCTAGAATGACGGAGGGGAATATATTGTTTGCTTTTCGCGTTAAAGCGATGACGTCACGGTTAATATTCTTAATATCCCCGAGAAAACGTGCGCCGTGCCTTTATTTGCGGTGTAGCCGTTTTACCGACAGCGAATGAATCTCCCACGCGCAGAATGAAACGGCCGCCATCTTGTTTCGTGAATTGTCTTATTCGAACGGTTGAAACGACTAACACTGAATATTGGTGACCTAATGTACCGATCTGACGCGTACTAATATGTATAATCGTAACCGAAGGTAGAAATGATTTATGTTATCTTGCTAGTTGAATCGATGATATCGGTTCCAGCAGTCCACGAATCGCTGACACGCTTGGTGTGCCTCTGACACACTGATCCAATTTCAATGCGTGCTGTATTGCCCAGTCGATTCTAAGACTACGCAATAACCTCCACGTGTTTATTCGTCTTTTCCCTTCCCTTCCGTTTCGATCGATCGATTGTTCCCAAAAAAAAAAAAAAAACGATCATCGAGAGCTGGACAACCTAGGGACCATAACTTTTTGTTATTAACTTTGATCGACCCCTTCTTTTTATTGGCTCTGTCGAGACAAAACCAAGTTCATAGTGGCCTGTAATTACCATTTGGCTTTTCTCTTTGTAATTATCATTTTGTATTTCTCTTTTGTATTTACCAGTTATGTTTCATTTAGTTTTAATGTTCGTCCGATTTATATTTTTCTCTCTTGTATTCCAATGGGAATGAACCCGTAAATAAAAAAACAAACAAATAAACTTTTGGCGCTGTATCGATTCGAACACATCGTCGAATCACGAAAAGGAAATGCTGTACGCGCATGCACGAACGAAAACAACGCGAGTCAGTGGTCTTCTCTGCGTGAGAATCGCGCGCGAAAATGAATTGTTGTAACGGATAACGCACCGTGCGCGCCGTCACGCTTCGGCTGTACGTACATGTATAGTGCCGCGATTTAACGCCGCTACCACGCTACACCGCGATCGAGAACAGGATAAGCAAACGTGTACGTATACTGTACGGTTCACCAGCCGTGAATACGAATAGGCAAAGCAATATACACGTTTCTTTCCTTTTCTTTCTTCCTATTTCGAACGGCGACGGTCTCTTTCCTGATTCCCACGAATCGGAAAACGGAACGCTGTTTCACTCGTGTTCTATACTCTATACGATCTTTTCCGCGATTCCAGCGGAAATCTAGCTTTCAGTCGGCGTGAAAGAGATGTTAAATAATATTATGCCCCAAACTGAGACGATTTTTAGGTTAAGCACCGCGTAAAACGATTAAATAAAGTTACCCTACGATCTTAAAGTGGCAGTAATTGGGACATCTAACCTAAATGGTTTCTCCTCGATCACAGTTCCAGCGTTCCCTCGTTGCACCGGTGGATATAGCGTGACACGGTCCCTTTCGCTTCGACGAACGTATAAGCGTACATACGTTTTCCGTTCGGCGACGTCGAAACAACCGAGAAAACGCATTACACGACTCCTGCGCACGGTTAACGAACACACTTTGTCGTTCTCGTTAACGGAAACCGTTCGTAACACGTTATGGAATCCTGGTTCGGTCCAGACGAGAGCTCAACGGGCCGGAAATCTTCGATCCCCTCGTAGGTATACGCTCGCATACATACATACTAGACGAACGTATGAGGGGTGAGTCTGCGACAGGACAAACACACCTCGAGCTAATTCGGTGAAAAGCGGGGATGCGCACAGGTGTCTGTCCGCCTACTCTCTGCCTGCCAGGGACTGGTTGGTGGCCTCCGGAGCCGATCGAACAAGCGCACGGAACGCGGAAAACTTTCCAACGTTCCTCGGTCTGCGGGACACACGGAGGCCTGCCAATTACAAAACTTTCTGGAACGGAAGTGCTAGTCGATCTTGTTCCAGAGAATCGAAACACGTACGGAACAGAACCATTCGAACGACTCGATTGCCCGGAGCATTTGTGTCGCTGATTTTCACGGCGAACGTAGGTTATACCAAATCGTAAAGTGGAAAGCGATTTTACTCTCGCGACGAATCTCCGATATCACGCTCCTTACGGAATATAGGTTAGAAGATGTAACGCGTGGAGTGTCGGTTGAAGAGTGTTCGCGTCACGAATACGCGTCCTACGTACATCGTCGATTGACCCAGCTTTCTCCATTGCACGACCGTAATGCGAGTTCAACGACGACATATACCTAACCGAATCACCGAACAAATTCGTCGATCGTACTTCCCGCCAGAATAGTCACAATGTCGAGTGATAAAACAAACTCATATAAATATGTACTCACAAGTTCTCCGTAAGGATCCGTGAATCGGCACGATTACTCGAAAGACTCCAAATCCCACGGCTCGAAACGAACGAATTCGGTGGTGGTGTTCAAACGGGCAGATCCAAGAGCATTGTGTGTAGCTTGATTACCGATCGACGCGATCCGCACCAGTTTTGTATCTTCTGTTAACCCCGTTTTTTCCTCTAGCTAACTTGAACAACAAATAAAGTTTTTTGTTCGATTGTATTGTCTGGTCGCCAGCTACGAGGTCACAGGCGAAACAAAACGGTCCCCGTGGAACGTTCACGAACGCGTCCCAAAACGAACCGACGCGCACCAAGGGAGAAACTGGACTGAGACGGTTGCTCGTGTCCAGCCCGCGCGAGGACGCTGCTCGGGGGGCGCAACTCCGGCGAATGGAGTTGCCTCGCTCCGTTCAACGTGCGCGCGAACCACGAACCCGCGGAACCGGCAGGGCCACGATTCGATTTGTGCGCAACTCCGTATGCACCGTCCTTCCCGTACCACGTACAGGGTGTTCGATGAGAAAAAGGGTGTTTAGACCAGATACTTCTACCGAAACGTAAAATACCGGTATTTTCGATTGTACCTTCGCCCTATATAATCCTATATAAGCCCTACCCTTATAGAAATCGAAAAAATACCGGCATTTATTTCGGTTTTCGGTAATGTATCGGTTTCAGTACAGCTTTGGACGGATTTTATGCGTTTATAGCATACGCATAACGCACACTACATCGACAAACGAATTCCATCCTTGCCGCCGATCGCGTTTCCAACTTCTTCCACCTGTTGCCTGATTCACAGGGAAAAATCGAAAGAGTACAGAACTGGATATACGATTCGATTATTCGAACCCTCTTTCCAGAAGAAAGATCAGAATCGTTTACACTGTAATTGTTACAGATTTTTCTCATCGATCTATGACGAATGAGGAGAGTCTCGAGGATTACTATTCAACCTGTATCTATTTTAGATACAGGTGAAATGTTATTTGTGATGAGGAACGTAAATAAAGTCCAGGAATCGTGGCGAAACGTTAACGAAACGCCGATGGTCGTAATAGGAAAATGAAAAGAAATCTCGTGCGACGAACAGTGTCGTGACACGGGGTAATTATCTTTTAAAAATCAAGCGTAACGAACCACCAGCGTTACATACGCGCGCGAGAAAAGTTTTGCATCGAAAGCTTGGGACGGAACGGATAATGGCCGGAACGCGTATACACGTATATGTACCCGTCGAGTTCGTTACCCTTACTGCGAACCGGCTCGTCGTTCTGGCTGCTTAGCCGAACAGTTAATTAACCGTCGTGAATAGACTTTCATTTACCGTTTCATTTCCACCTTTCTGTAGAGTGCGTGACCCTCGAGAATAATCAATATACCTCTGATTCACCGTAACACAGCAAATAACGAGAATTCCATGACAGGAGTAAGCTTTTGCCCTGCCTTCCGTTCCTACAGGTATTGGATATTTCTTCATATTGAAAGATTCACGGTCACGTAAACTGTTTTCGCATATTTTCGGATGATCTAATCTTAATCGATTCGAAACTGTTCGTGCTTCTTCGCGTAAGACCACAGAAAACACGTACGAACAACATAGGACGCAAGGTTCGTGGATGTATGCATACAGTAAATCATCGAGGAGTGTTCGAAGGCTCCTCGGCATTGACAAGGAGAGGCCCTCAGGTGTAACGTTTACTTTTTAATGAGGTTTAGCACGGTGATAGTGCTTGGAATTCTGAACCTATGACCGAGTGTGACCGCGTATGAAAGAAGATATAGTATAAGAGGTAGGTTAGTCAGAGCGAGAGTGTCTTAAGAGCTAGAGTGTTGTAAGCGTGTCCTAACGAGTTCTTTATGTTACACATTTTAGAATAAACCTTTTATTTCTACGAAATACAACCACCACTTTAATATTATTCCTACAATATTTAATGTTCAGTGCCGAGGAGCTTTCGAAAACTCATCGATGATTTACTGTACAGACCGAGTGTAATGAAAAAATCGAACGAAATTAATTGTAATAGGTAGTTGTCATAATCGCGGTGAACGAAATTCATTGGCCCGATATTTTCCAGACGATACAACGAACACCCGTGTGTGTACAAATTTTTGTTGGAACTAACAGCACCGAAGTCGCTTAATGATATTCAATACTTTAATTATATAAAATCGGTAATTACACTGCAGTTTCTAATTGGAGCGTCGATATCAACTTTTTCAGCCTTTTGCCGTCTTTTTTTTTTTAAATCTACAATTGGCAAATGATAATGAATTCAGGACACAATAAGTCATTCGTAAGATCTTGTTAGTTCTTCTAATGGTTTCCGCTCCGAACGAATAAATTAGTAATATTAATTTGTCATAAATATGGCTACCACTACAAACATAATCATCGATGTAAATACAGTGGTAGACGATGCGGAGTTGCACTTGTCGGTGGTACACTTTACGCATTCACCATCGGTGCACTGCATGTCCTTGTTTCCGCAACCTCTCGCAACCACCGTGTCGTTAACTGTAAAAGAACAACAATCAATGATCCGGCTATGACCAATTGTTTAAAGAATCAGATCAAAGGAAATGAAAAATACTTCGATGAAGAGACGAAGCAAACATTATATGTATAACGATCAACGTTTTACTTACCTTTACGCGTGAAGCAATATACGTCATCAGCTTCGAACGGCTGTCTTCGTGAAAATCGGTCCAACACGCTCCTACGTTCCCTCGCTGTGTAACAAGTAAATAAAATTGTATTAAACGACTCATACGTATTATCAAAAAAAACATGTAACAACGCATATTGCTAACAATCGCTTACTCGTGATATGTTCGATACACCGAGTTGAATGTACAATATAAATCCTTTTAATGTTATACCTTAGACGGGAAGCATGAACATTGAAATCAATCTCAGGTGAAATAATAATAATAATAACGATAACAAAATGCCCCGGATTCAACGAAGTCAAACATAAATTATAAATTCAAACGATAAATTAGTATCTAATAACATGTGCTAATGCCGTTAAACTTTTGGTAACTTTCAAACACACTCAATAGCCTCGGAGTACCTTAATATTTATAGAACAAAATATTGCTGAAATTATTTAATGTTATTCATATTCTAACCATTATATGAATTACCAGGTGCCGAGGTGGGAACCGGACCAGCGGATGACGTTTCTGAAGTCGGACTAGTGGGTGACGTTCCTGAAGTCGGACCAGTGGATGACGTTCCTGAAGTCGGACCAGTGGATGACGTTCCTGAAGTCGGACCAGTGGATGACGTTTCTGAAGTCGGACCAGTGGGTGACGTTCCTGAAGTCGGACCAGTGGATGACGTTTCTGAAGTCGGACCAGTGGGTGACGTTTCTGAAGTCGGACTAGTGGGTGACGTTTCTGAAGTCGGACTAGTGGGTGACGTTTCTGAAGTCGGACTAGTGGGTGTCGAAGGCATTATATCAGGTGTACACTCCTTAACCTGAGAGTCCTGTACTTTGGTACAATCACTATCTTCCCCAGGCGGGCATACGTAACACTGCATCTAATTTTATGAACCAAGAGAAACATACATTAAGTCACTACAAGGACAATACAATGAATTCAAATTCAAATGGTGTATTATACCAATGTACGTATAGCATTCGCTTTGATATGTAGTCGAACAATTTTTTTATCATAATATGCGCGCAACACTTTAAAGAAATAAGATATTCATAACAATCGAAGAGTATTATTTAGATTTTAGATCGATTTCGCGTCGAATCACAAATTTGTACATGAAATGATACATTACCCGAGGGCAGTGCGACAAGTCCAATAAGGGCCAGGAATACCAGAGGTTTGTACTTGTTGAACATGTTTGTCCAAATGTTCGTGCCACGATGAATGTTGATACCGTGACCGCCCATACGCAAGTGCGGTGGAGATTCGCGAAATAGGAATATTCTTCCCTTGCTTATCACGATAAACTTTATACTTATCTCAATAGAGACCTCCAATCAATACCATTGCCTTGGTGAGACACGATTAACGCGTACGTAAAAAGTCAGATATCGTAGATCCGTTGTTCCCCTTTATCTGTTTCTGCTCGTCCATCGCGTTTTCTCCAGTTAGAGAAATAAAGTCTAGTCATCGATGAGTCGATAAGATAATTCTCTCGATAAAGACAATTTTCTTTTGCAATTGAAATATACGCTGTGAATCGGAATAATTTTCCCGGTGAGCATGGAAACTTGAGGAATCGGACCGAAAGTTTAAGCACGAATTTACATCGAGAGTTTCGTCGAATATTCATCAAGTCACCAAGCTTCCCGTTCGTTTACTGCAATATCGGGTTTCATATGTGTCTAAAGATACATTTTTTTCATACGATCTTTATTATTCGATCGTCGTTTAAGAATCGTTCATCGAATAGGCATGAACTTCTTGTAAACGGCAATTTCACGTGACAAGCAAAACGTTCGTTTTCGAAAAAAATGCGAAAACAAAGATACAATCGATACACCCGTTATTGGCCGATAAAAATAATTAACTATCTAGAAGACTTTATCGTGAAGAAAATTGAATTACTTTTCAACAATGTAATATAAATCCGTCGTTATCATCCAGGGAAGGCAAAACAGGAAAATCTCACTTAAACGTTGTCGATTATCTTCTTTTTTTTGCAGACATTCCTTGATTCTTCGAAACTCGTGTGTCATTTCATTCTGTTTAGATCGACCATAGTGAACAATTCCTCTCTCGAAGCTTTCAAACCGGAAGATCATTCTCAGAAGTCGATGCAACTTAGAAGAAAACAGTGAAAAGACGTGAGGAAATACTTACGGAACGTTTAAATGTTTCAATCGCGAGTATACGGTATTCCATCGAACAGGAACTTGTCGTTTCTCCATTTTAGTAATTTTAGGTATTACCAGTGGGCCGTTCCAGAAACAACTGGAATGCAAAATGGACAGTATGGCAATGAGAATCAAAGAAAAAACTCAAGTTTATTTCTTATCTTCGAGTGTTTCACTAGTATCCTTGAACCGGTGACGACGCAGTAATCTACGCATAAATCCAATCTAAATGTTATTTTTATCATACAGGTTGCTCGTAAAAAAATAATACTGCCAAGACAACTGTTTTAGTGGATTTTCCTCGGTATAAATATTAGAAACGCGGGTAACACCGACAAAGCAAAGAGAAATCAGGAGCAGAACAAGAAACCGAAAGAAGAAGCAACGAGAAATATGGTGGACTTGAAGTTCTTGTTTAACATCGCAGTTATGTTAGTGATTGTGTTTGTCTGCATGACCAACGCGGAGCCCGAAGCTGATCCTTCGCCAGATGCGGTGAGTAGAGCACTTCGTTGATGTTTAATAGAATTTTTTTCGTAATATTCGTCGTATTCCTTCCTTCAGGACGCAGATCCTGTAGCAGGATGGAAAGATGTACTGGCCAAAGTACTGAAGGGATAAGCAATCCAGGATATTTGTCGAAACTGTAAGCTTATGATACTGATAATATACAAGCATTCCTGAAGCAAAATATTTGTCTTTCCTCTTCCTTCGGAATCTAAGCGAATCGATTTGTACGTGTACGAGTAAAATGTGGTACACTTGAACTATGAACTCGGAGGACAGTTTATTTTGAATATAATTGATAAACTAGATTCTATTAATCAGAATGATAAGATATCCATGCACGCGTAATAATTGTGCTCTGTCGCATTTCTTCTAAGGAGTTCGATGTAGAGCGAAATAGTGTCGATTAAAATTACTACTCTCGATCGAGTCGTCTATGTCTATATAATACGGTGGTATATTAAATTGCACTCTGTTTTGCCAATTCTTTCCGGACTGAACAACAATATCGTCCCCCATTTCTGTCTCCGTCGAATGTTTCGAATTCCGAACGAAAAATCTTGCCGATAAAAATGAAATTATTTGAACGCAAAGCGAACGAAATTATATGTTGCATGCAAGGATTCCCAGAACGATAAAGACTCTTCCGAGGAAAAAGAAACTATACGCAATTTTCAGATATCCAGAGATAATCGTGTTCGTGTTATCGTGGTCGTTACGAAAATAAAAATTCCGAGAGCATTCATGCAGTTGCCCCCATCGATCCTCGGGTACAAAAAGAATGTAATATTTCTCCGTGGTTTTCCACTCGTAGTAGCGTAATCGTTTTAAAAGTTTCACAGACCATAATGAAAATGGACTTTCTGCTAGTTCATACGTTTCGTCGTTCATTTCCCGCGGAAAGCAAAGAAAATATACTTGAAGCAGAATGAGATACTGTTGTGCATGCTTTTTGGGTACATTTTATATAAGCGATATATAAGGAATTTAGCTGCCTAGTACTTATATAGAAGTCTGTGATTACTAGACTGCGGATTTTATCCATTTATAGCCTATAGGGGTCTGTAAAATACAGTAAAATACAAACTTTCATCAGATCCAATCAGTTTTCTAGTTTATTCCGAACCTAATATGATACTCAAGAAAAGAAATTCCTACATTTGCTCTTCTCTGTATAAATTGCTTTAGAAAATACCATTTCGCATGAAAATCCTGATAACAAACGGCCTCGAATCGTTGCATGAAGGAAAATATAACTAAATCCAATTTGCATAATTCATTCGTTCGGATATTGGTAACCAATATGTATATTAATGAAGTAACAAATTCGCGTCAGTTCGTCGAACAAGAATACACGGGGATGATCGTTCGATCGAAATCAGTTATTATTTGCATAACTGGTTCGTCGATGATTCGTCACCGATTAGAGCAACCAAGCAACACCTCCGTCTCGTTTCCGTCTGACGAGTATACAGACGACCGCCTCTCGCACGTCTGACCCATAAAACGAGATTCGCGGAACGGAACTGTGGAATCGGGTGAAAGCTCCAACGGAGAAAGCCTCTCGAGGACTCGTGTCGTCCGCTTCGGGATTTGTTTTGACCTTCCTTCCGGCACAAATTTCTGGGTCGGGCGCAATTCGACTTCCATAATGTATAAACGTGTCGCAGGTGCGAAACGCGGAGGCCATTCCTCTGTGTACGTCGACGTTACCCGCGACCCTAATATCTATACCGAGCAAAATCCACTAAAAATAATTGCCTTAGCGGTATTATTTTTTTATAAGCAACCTATGTAATAAAACTATCGTTCAGATTATATTGATGGGAAAATGACTGAATCGTGACCGATTCAAGGATATCAGTGAAACACTTAACACTTCTTTTGTTTCACAGAAGATAGGAAACACGATACACTTGAGATTCTCCATTAATTGTTCATTCTACACTATCCATTTCGCATTAAGGTTATTTCGAGAGAAGCCCGATCAAATAATATATATATATATATATATATATATATATATATATGTATTGTCATTGAATCCTTTGTTCGATTGTGTTTTTTGCATCCCTCCACGTAAAAGTCACACGTTTACGCAACGTAAACGCGACGCTTTACGTAACACCGTTACAGATCGCGATTTCGATCGTAAGATTCCGAAAATTTATCTCGCACTATAGCGTCGTGGAATCGAATTCTCGGATCGTCTGGTCAAGGGAGCAGGCTGCTTCGAACCGGTCGTTTGTTATACTCGTCTTCGATATCGTGGAGATCCGGCGGGTCCGCGAAACCGCTGTCCTCGTAACGGGTGCATCGTGACCCAGGTGATCTCGGGGGATGAACGGGATGAACGCTGCCAGACGAACAACAAACCGAATCCCAATATTGATGGACTCGTGAAAAATATGCTTCAACGAAACGATATGGAAAATTGGAAAACGTAAAACCACAGACGAGGTACAGGAGTAGACATTTATTCGACCCACTTTTCTGGGGCGACGTTAACTCATTTCCTTTTTAGTGTCACTACCCACCGCAGATTTACCGTTCTCATAACGTAGAGGTCGCTAAAGTCACGGGCTTTTTAAGGTGTCGGTACTACAGTATTTGGTAAACCACCAACTCCCATAAGATGAAAAGTCTATTCTTATACCTCGTCGGTGGTAAAACGTTTGTTATGTGTTACCTTGTACATCTAGACGGACTGGTGTCCAATGGTTCGTCGTATCTACGCGACAGCATCGTGAAGTCCCGATGCGCCGCGACCATTTTCTGCAGCCGCGAAATTATCTCGTAGTCTGGCGTGCAGATTGGCTCGGACAATAACTTGACCACGGAGATACGGAAGCTTTGCAGCTGCAACAGGAAGCGAACGATTTGCTTGTTCCACGGCTAAGCGTGCGTTACGTGTCGGTTCACGCGGTGTTTCCACGTTTTACGTTACACGAAAATCATACTTGGGATTCCCTTTTGGTAATCTCAGAGAGATTCTGCTTGACCTGAGCCAATTCGTTTCGAAGCAACTGCAACGAATGATCGTTTATGGATCTCTCTTGGTCAGCAGTCTCAGTCGTGCTACGAAGCTGCTCCTTGAGCAGCGTCAACTTTCGGTTGGAACGCGTCCGTAACGTCTCGCTCTCGACCAGACGTTTTTGGAGCTCTTCTATCTTACGGCTCCGCTCCAAAGCGGCTATCTGCGTTCCGAGAAATCGCCCGTTCTAAGAAACCACGAAGCACCACCGGTACACACGCCTATGCAGTCTCAGCTCGAAGATTATCATCGAGCCGATAAACATCGATAAAAGCAATCGTATACGCGCCTTGTAATCAGCCGCCTCTGTCAATTGCGAGCTCAGCTCGCGATTCCGCAATTTTTCTTCCGACAATTGTGCCTGCAAACGATCGATCTGCTTCATCAGCTTCTTCGCCCTTTAAACAACACAAAATTCACGGCTGAACTTTTGTTAAATTTCTTTATCCATTTAAAAAAACGAAGTTGACCATCAAATCACCTTCAAAACGTTCACCAGATTGAAAATAAATACTGTGATTCTCTTTCCCCCTCAAAACCAAACAACTTTTGTCTAAGATAGGTACTTTCTTATGAAATGTTTTGTTTTTATGATATTTCTATATGTCAACTTAAATGCAGCACCCTGTATACTTCAGATATTGATGTATTATAAAAATCTATTCTAGTGTACGTTCAGTGTTGGTAGTTCTAGTGTCGAACGAAAGGTAAAATAAATCGTGTGTGTTTATTGGAAGCCGTACCGAATGTTCGCCTCGTCCCTTTCGGTTTGCAGCAATGATTTCATCCGTACGCTGTCCTCCTGCAGCGACAGCTTTCTACGAAGAAGATCCAGATGGAGATCTCTGCGCTGCAATTGCTCCCGAAGCGTTCTCACGCGACGTTGCAGCTGATAGACCACCGAGGTCTGGACATGGAAACAAAGGGAAAAAGAAACAGCTCGCTGACGACTGTAAGCAAACTGCTTATAGTCGTAGCTGAGACTACAAGATCAGCTAGTCGATAAGCCAGTCTCTGACACGTTTCTAAAAAATCTACGTATGTAACTCCATGGGATCGCGCGAAATTATGGCAATTACGGGCAGCTATATCGTGCGGCTGTAAGGAAAAACGTCACAATTTCCAAAAATTTCAGATCATGCATTACTCGAGCTGTAGAATTTAGGATTTATGTATTGATAAAAAAAAAAATGCTTGGAAAGAAATAGTGCACTTTTACCGAAGTCCAATATTCAATTCATATGCATTTAGCAAAACAACGTAAGTCCAAAAATTTTTGACAATACGACGATTACTCATGCACATTATTACATACCGCGTGACACATGAACGTGTAACTTGTATTTTAGAAAGAAGAATATTATGCAAAGTGAAGGAAATATACATTTATATTGTAAAAAACGAACAAGGAAATATTACTGATAAAACGAATCGGTGTTCAGAACATTAAACGAAAATATCTCGAAATATCGGCGTTTCTCCTAACGACCACAGATATTATGGGAGGCGATTTCGTGACGCGAAAGGCTTACTTCTTTCGTAGAAGAAAGCTCATGGAAGGACCGCTCGCGTCGAATCCTCGGTAGAGTGGTGTAGTACGGATACTGCGGGAACGAAAAAGTGCACAACAACAATATTCGAGACCGTGTGACGCCTTGAAAGTCAACTTAAGGGATTTCAATCGTTATATTTGCACCTTGTCCACCAGCTTGTCGGTTTCCAGTCGAACCAATTGCTCGGCTCGCACCAACAGCGACTCGGTCTGTAGTTCGAGGCCCATACCCTCGGAGATCTCGTCCATTTGCATCGCTTTTCCAAGTCGATCCAGGAACGTGGCGAACTGAAATACAGTAAGAAATTAATTCAGCCAAAGACAGTTTTCGTTCTAACATGACTTTCGTTAAAAAAAAAGATAGTTTTACGCATTAAGTATAAAGAATTAATTCGTAAGTAATTAAACTCAACGAGCAATCCCAGTGTTCCTATAACTTTCGGATGTGGACCGTATGCTAGTGGAATTATTTTCCCAACGTTTCGCAAGCATTGCAGCTGTGTATCGGTATGTCATTCGACCCCCTGATGCAGCTAGCTGCAATGCTTGCGAAACGTTGAAAAAACTAATTTTGAAGCCTCAACAGTGATAACTAGACTGCGTACGTTTACGTAAATTCATAATTTCAGATATTAATATTTAAAAATTCAAATAGAGCAAAATTTTCAATTTTGCACTAAAGGCTTTACTACGTTAATAATAACAAATACATATAGTACTAAACGTTATTAAAATCTTTATTTTATCTGAATTTTATTCATTTATTTAAAAACATTTGTTTTGTTATTTATTTTATTGGACTTTTCAAGTTAAAGAATGCTATAAATGCATTAACATCCGCAGTCTAGTAATAACTGTATGAAATATTTACAAAAAGATACGTCCAGCTCGAGAAGAATCGTCCTCCCCTGTCAGGTAATACATATAAACGCCAGAATGTGGAACACCTCGATATAGATGCATACATATTTACGTAATATCTGATTTATTACCGCCTGCTTATCTCTGCTCAAACATTCTTTCGATAACTCGCAACCGGTCAATTCGGATTCCAGTTTGCGAACTTTGTTCTCGAGGCTCGATCGTTCCTCCTCCAGATTCCGTATCTTCGAGACAGTGGTCTCGATCAGTTCCGTCTGTCGATTCGTCGATTCCGTCGCCACGGTCACTTTCTCCCGCAAGTTCTCTATATTCTAGATGTGGGAGAAAGACAGAGAGGGGAGACGACGAGATTTTCAGAAACCTGTCACGAATCTTCTGTTCATCTACGATGCTTGCATAACGTTACGGATAGAGACCTCGTAATCAGAGTCACGAAATCACGTTTCAAAACAAATCTATTTCAGAAATAAACTGAGATACATCATCTGAATTACGCTGTACTGAAACTATATAATTTAAACTTGTCAACTAATTTCATTGCTAATTGCTGTTATCATCGGGTAACATAATTGTATAACATAATTTTCATTTAACATTTTTATAATACAATAATGTCTCGATGAGTGCGACGTACTCGGGTCCGCTTCGGAGCATTCATGGCAGGGCGCAAACGTTCTCAACCTCTCATAAATTTTTCTTCTGCACGAAGCCAAGCCTCTGCTTAGTTTCTGTTTACTTTTTGATTGGTTCCAGAAGGGGAGCCCCTCAATGGTGGTAATAACGCAGTTGTTCGTGTCGCACTCATCGAGGACATACTGTATAGCCTTCCTGCGATGAATTGGTACAATTTCGTGCAATTATTTTTCTAATATAGCAATTATAATGCTTCAAAGCAACGTTCTACACATATACCGCAATTTACATTTTCACACTCTTGCCCAAAAATGGCGTTCATCGACGTAACTTGGACGTGATTTCGTGACTCTGATTAAAGGGTCTCTAGTTACGGATAATTAAAAGACGAAATACAAGAGCCTGATCCTTGTTCTCGGCCAATATCTCCCTGATACGATCCTTGATGGCGTTCTCGTGAGACTCGACGTATCGGTTCGGCCCGCTAACCAATATCGCGAACGACTCGAGCATGTGTCGCGACTCGCTCTGCAACCGTTGCACCTTCTCCTCCCGGTGCTTCAGATCATCTGCGAACGCAGACGAATCTTGGCATTGTTTCGCGTTCAACTGGACGACCAATCCATTGTGCATAGGATGGAGATGCACCAGTAAATAAACACGTACCAGTGGATAACTGTTATACAGGGTGATTCTTACCTCTCAACTGGCAGATCAGCGTTTCTTGGCTGGATATGTTTCCGGTCGCGCTCGTGATGCTCCTGTTCGCGTTCACCAGTTTGTCCCGAAGATCGTTCAGTTCCCTTTCAGCGACTCTGTACTGCATCTCTAGGCACTCTTTGTCCTATTAAACAGTTACACTTCAGAGAGTTCTGTCGTAAAAAGAAGTCTATGTATGTTTCTAGTTCGAGTGTGCAATGTACACTGACGTGCAACTTGACTTCTGCTAGGGGAAAAAGTGGTGTACTTCGGAAAGTACTGAAATTTATGTTACCTGCGTTGGGTCGCAACAACTAAAAACCGCGAACATGTTTTCGAATTTTGATTCAACTAACTGCCCCAGAAATAGCGTAAATATGTCGAAAGTGATAGGAACTATTAATTTTCAAGACTAGACTGTACTTTGGCATTTCATAAATAAACAACGAATCTATGTAAAGAAGGCCACTAATTAATTTGTGTATCTAATATTTTTACGTGAAATACCGTTTTACGTAAAAATCAACTGAATTTAATAATTTTCAGAGCTGCAAAAATCGCAAATGATTATTTTCCGACTTCAGGATAAAGTTATGAAAATTATTCGGAATAGGTGCATCCTCGGCGATTTCAATAGCCTTGAAATATGTTGTCAAGGTAACACGTATAGGGAAAGGTTATTCAGAATGATGACCTTGACAACGTATCTCAAGGTCATTGAAATCGGTGAGGATTGACCTATTCCGAATAATTACCAAAGTTATCCTGACCGAGTCAAAGTTACCCCAACATATGGTACCTGTTTCAAACGGTCCAAATCGAGCAAATGCGAGGATATCTGTCGATGAAGCAATTCCTTGTCCGCGACTGCGCGATCCAGAGCGTCACGACAGCTTCGGAAGTCCGTCTGAACGGTGGACAATTGGGTCTCGACGTTCGTGGTTTTAGCCCGAAGACGATTCGCCTCCTGGACCAGTTCCTCTGCTTTCTGGATCACCATCTCGACGCTGGGATGAACAGTCTCGCAGTACTCGAGGTTCAACGCGTGCGCCAATTGCCGTGCAAAGTCCTTCGAACGAGTGTATCAAAGAGATCGGTAAGTAAGGTCGATACCAAGGATCGTCGAGAAATCAAAAGGAATATAAAGGGTGTAACAAAAATATTGGAGGAACTGGAAGTGAGAGACTTGTGGGGTGATTTGAAACAAGTTTTTCCATAGCAAAAATGTTCTCCGAGGCTTTGTTAACGAGATACTAACGAAAAACTCCGACCAATCAGAGCGCTGGTCTGTCGGCCGAGCATCCGCGGTCGCGTTGACTACGAATCGCAGCGCGTAGCCAAGCCTACCGTGGAAGCTCGGCTGGCAGACACGCGCTCTGATTGGTCGCGGTTTTTCGTGAATATCTCGTTATACGAAGCCTCGGGGAACATTTTTGCTAAGGAGAAACTTGTTTCAAATCACCTCACGAGTCTTCGGATATATTCAGCTCCAGGTGACGAATCTTTTTCTCGTATTCCCGTATCTTCTCCTCGCGATACTTCAGATCACGCTGCAAACCCTGTATCGTGATCTCGTGCCGGCCGTGGGTCGCGTAAAGATTTCTCTCGCGTTCCTCCAATTCCTGGTATCACGGTACACGATTGTAGATCTTTTCTACTACATAGAATCGATCGAAAAATAAGAACAAAGAAACAAAAAAAAAAAGGATACAGGGAATGAGCAACCTGTATACGATTTTTAAGACTCGACACGATGGCGTTCTGTCGGGCAGCTTGTTCCCGAAGCTGATCGGCCTCCATCTGTAGCTCCACGATTCGTTGATCGCGCGATCTCACGAGGCTTTTCATCTCTTGGAGCTGCACCACGACGTGGACACATGAATTAACATGATCGATCGATAGGAAGAAAGGTTTCGCTTTGGCGGATTGGTTTACCTCGGACACCAGACGGTCCCGTTTGTACTCCAGAGCAGCCAGCTCGCTCCTCAAGGTGGTTGTCAGCTCGTGAGTCATCGCTTCATCATGGCGGACCTGAGGCAAGAAATTTCATATCTCCATATGATACACTTTCGAGGCTATTCGACTACTAAAAACGAAAGAGAGTGGGAGAACACAGAAATTCGCATCTACGTACACTCCTGTTCATAAGTACTGGGACACTTATCGAACATTTACTTATTTATTTAATTGTGTGTAAATGGGCAATAACACCTTTGTACAAAAAAGTTAAAATGAAGAAAACACGTCTGTTTAATATCGACATTTTCGACTTCGGAATGACAAGATACAACATATATATCAATCTAATCATTTGTAATAAGGGTACGGGCGTTAAAGGGTTAAGATGCCGTTAGGTGCTACGACCAAAGTATGCGGTAAATGCTACAAGACACTACGAAATTGGTGAAAGTCTAAAATAAATATTGTTTAGAAAATATTGCAGCTCTAATAACCGTGGCCTAGAATATATCATTTTCACGAATCATCATACTTTCTTCATACTGACCAGATGTTCTAATATTTATGAACGGTAGTGTATAATTGCTCTCTCCCGATTCGTTTTTATTCACGCATCGCTGTCTCGATCGATGAATGGCATTAGCTGCAACGAACCATGCATGATACCGTCGCCTCGTAATTACGTCCCACGCGCGAGAGGTTTCGGTGATTAAAACATCGTTCGGTTTAACTTAAAGCCGATATCGAGGGAATCGAGAACGTCGTGGAGCGTCTCGGTAGCAAACTTCCACACTGTTGCGTCACGTTGCGTCGGGTCGGATCGAATTTCAAGTGAAAACAATCGATATTACGACTCGTTCGAACACTTCCACAAACACACACACACGCGTGTTAGATTGCTTACATCCGATAGTGGCCCGATTTACTCTGATCCGAATCTTTCGACAACGATGCTCGACATGTCACCGTTAACAGTGGAATATTCGACTGCAACGGTCGAATCAACTCCAAAGATTCCATGAATTCCAGCAGAAGCGTGTCGAAAGTTGTTTCGTCGGTTCACGAGACGCGGGTTTACGTGACTCGGCTTCATCGGGACACGTCCAGGTACGAAGGTCACTACAAAATTCACCTGGTACATAATGCTCGTTTGCTACAATAATGGCATAATTGCTCAAAGAAGACGATAATAATAATAATAATAGCGTGTATAAAAATTAGGACTTTGAATGTTTCTGTCAGTCTTAAAGTGACGGTCCTGACGTGGTAAGTTTTCGAAGCTCACTTACAGAATACAGTTAATAGTGTTTTCTACACTAGTAACTCAAAAACTGCAAATTTTAGAGTTATCTAATTTTTTCAGCAAATGAACCATATGTACAGTGGCTGCTAAAAAGTTTCCGGCTTGAGATTTCAACGTATATTTGTAAGAATATGTACAGTGGACTCTTTATATATTGCCTCGGCTGGGGTTGTAAGAGAGGAATTACTCTCAGAAACGGCAATGTTTCGAGAGTGCGAAGGGGAAGTGACTCGCGTGGCAGTGTATCGAGCGGCAATAATCAGGAGTTCACTGTAATACCAATAAACTCTTGCTATGCTTCTTCAAATTTGGCGATATTACAAATTTTCTTGCATAAAAATATTCTGTTCTTTTAGCTTTTAGCAATTTTTAGCAGCCACTTGTATCTAGTACTAGGATCGTGGTACCATGGACGGTGTACGTCTTTGCAACGATGCTATCGTTTCGATCATCCTTCCATTATCGTCGACGACCACGCGTCATCGATACACGGACGTATCGTGTATTTGTAACCGTAACGCAATTAACCAGACACGAATGACAATAAAAAAAATTGAAAATACACGATCGTATCTTGTTGCCACGTAACAATCGAATTCTGACATCGAGTTTCCGTATCATTTCTTCGTCGAGTAAGATAAGGCACAGTGTCGGATCTTAAACTTGTATGTACCCAGAGAACACGTTCACACCGCGAACTGTAGATGTGGCGGGTGCTTGTAATTTTTCACGATTTCTGGCTCGATAGGGAACCCCCCATTTAGATTAGAACAATTCCGAGAATACATTTGAAAAGAGTAAAACTAGTATATTTGTTTGTCTCTTCAACAGAAGCTTCTGGTTGGGAGTCGATCGAGATCGATCGATCATTGCGGGACCATAAATTTCGGGGATTTGCTAAGGTTTAACGCGACACGATGATATCGTGAAAGGTCGAACGTTGTTGTTGGGGAGGGCTACCGATGCACAGTGTTGCGATTACAGATGTTAGCTGGACAGAACTATTTTTTTTACCTTTATTCAAATTAATTATGATCTAGGAGAATGATTATATATACTACTCTAATATCAGTGACAACAATCTTCGCGTTTATTGTTGTTTATTGAAAGCTTCCAGTAAATAAATTAGTCTAAATAATACTACATATATTCGTCGGGTGGTTTCATCATAAATTTTAAATTTGAGGTTAATTATAGTAAATTCAGAGATTCAATTAATACTATTCATCACTAGTAATTTTAAGGAAGAACTCTTATGAGGTGCTCGTGTAATCTATTAAAAGTATTATTTAGAGTACTAATTCATTCTTATCGATAAAGCAGAAATTTTAGGTAATCCAACAATAAAATTCAATTGTTCCTTATTGTCTAGATATTACAAAATACATCGAGTACTTTTCCTGGCGGTAATAAATTATGCGTTTTGCACGGCTAGTTAACATCAATCGAAGCACTGTGCGACAGGAAGGTGTGCACGACGACAGGTGGAATCGATTCTGTGCAACGCTATGGCAACCGAGGCCTTTACTCTGCGCGTGAGTCGATACCCTCTCGATTCAGCTGAGCACGTGCGATACCACGGAAACGGTGAACACCATGATACATCTCATGATCGAATGTAATCCAACAGAAACATAGAAAAGCATAGAGAAAGGTTCGTTCGTCGATCTTCTCCCATATAAGAAACGTCATTAGATAGAAATCATCAGTTACTATCGACTGTCGACCCTATTTCAAATACAGTAAATCCTCAATGAATGCTCTCGAAGGCTCCTCGGCACTGACAAGGAGAGATACCCACGTGTAACACTGACATTTAATAAGGTTTAGCACAGTGATAGTGCTTAGAATTCTGAAGTCAATGATTTATTCATTTATTTATATATTTTACTGTATATAAACGGGAATAACCCTTTTGTAAAGTGACTTAAATATAAGAAAATAATGATATATAATGATATTTGTTTCAGCCGTATATAGCCATTAGTTTATGAAATATTTAACGTTCAATGCCGAAAAACCTTCGAACACTCATCGAGTATTTACTGTAGCCTCGAACAGGAAAACTGATGTACCCAGCGGTGCTGGCGAGACCACCAGCCACGCTGATAAAAGCTACAAACGTTCGTTCGATACGATCAACTCGTGTGCGTATATACGTGCGGTGGAAGCGTTCTTTTTTTTCTGCGAGAAATAGAGATTGTGCTATAAATCAGTGCGTGTTCGATCTCTTTGATAAATCTCGCCTGCGATGAACGGAAGTGACGACCTTTCCAGCGGACGATATACAGAGAGTCTCGAAAATTCGCAGATCCTCCTCGGTCTCCGTTTCCTTCTCCACCTCCCCTCTGGTGGCCACCTCGGCTTCCTCGTCGCTCGACATTTTTCGTCGTTTTGGAAAACCACTTTATTCACCTTCTGTTAGCATATTTTACAAACGACTTCTCGTAGTCTAGACACCCCGTGTACGTCGTAATACGACGCGTCCCTTAGTGGGAAAACCGTTTTCAGCCGTGAGGGTCAGAGAGCGTCGACGCGAAACCAGACCAACCACCCAGGCGAACCTCGAGATAATCGAAAGTAACATCGATCCATGCAAAGCAACGCTTTCTGACGCTTTCTTCTCCGTGTCGAACAGCGGCCATCTTTCCGAACGATTCGACGTTTACGTCGATTCTTCCCGATCGTGTCATCCTTTCGGGTGTTCTTTTTGTTATAATTCATCGTCGAATAACGTTAAACCCATAAGCGAACACAGTTTAACTTTTAACTTGTTAACTATTAACACTTTAATGTTGGATGACTATAGTACGACTTTCCAAAAACAAAAGCGATTATTGTAGTGGTATGTCTTTCTTAAATAAGAACTGGAATAGTTAAAAATAGAGAAAAATCGGTTTCCTATATGTAAACTATATGTAAACTTCCTTTTATATAAACATATTTACATTTTTTTTATCTTCTATTCTAATAGGAATTAACCCCTAAATAAATAAATAAATGTAAAGTTTGACAAAGAAAAGTTATGCGGTAGTTTCTAAATATTTTAGGACACCTAAATTTCTATATTTGCAAACGCAAAAACTCTGTTGCCAGCAAAGTGGTAATTTCTCAATGTAATAACGAGGAATTTGAACTTTATTATTCGTCCTGAGAAACCTATCTAACTGAGAAAGAAATGAATGTTAATGCGTCGTTAAATGTTAACGTTTCCCGTTTTACGTCTTTCCGTGGATAAATATGTTACGAACATTATTCGTCATATCGATGTGATTTATAACAAATGTGACGGTACCGTTACCGATTGTCGATCACCGCGAAAGTATTCGTGATTGCGCTTATCCGTACGAAGGATATGGGTAACAAAATTTTTTTTTTTTTATTTCCCGCGTATTTATGGACAGAAGTTATCGTTATTGTTCAACTATAAATACCATCGGAATGGTTCCCTGTGCAACAGTCAACGAGAAAATACATGACAATGAAAACCATGAAATTGGTGTTCGCCGTGGCCGTTTCGGTGGCGATTATATTTATGTCTGTTCCGTATGCAGCAGCTGAACCGGATGCGGTAATATATTTCTCCACATGAACGTTATTCGAATTATTCGCTGAGATTCATTTGAAATGTATACAAATTTTCCTTTTATTTCAAGAACGCAGATCCTTTGAATCCGAAACTCCTAGGATCCCTTGTGGGTCGTAAATAAAATAAACCATGTCAGAAAAAAAAAAAGAGTAAACCAATTATGCACTTTTTGAGTCTGTTTCGTGTACGTATAATCGAAATTATGGAAATAAAAAATTCACCTTGCAAATGAAGCTAGACTGTTGACTAAAGCATGGTAACCTAATATCCATGCACTTTTGACTCTACACAATGTGGAATCTTTTACTCAACGTGTGACAGCAATTATGGAAATAAAATGTTTACTTTGAAAATTCATTCGACCAGAGTTTTTGTCATCCCCATGATCCAAAACCTTAACCTTTATGAGCACTGTTATTTTCGACGTGTCCGACTGCACCAAAGCGACATTCGAATGAAACTACAAAGATAAACGAAGTAAATTTTGTAATCCGTTTCTACGATATATTGAGCACCGTTAAATCTTGAAATCGTAGTTAATAGCGTACAAGTCACGTAAACAACGATATACATACATGATTTTTTTATATGTTCTTTAACGATATATTATCCGATTCGATTACCGACCAAGTATAAATAAGCTTGCGAAACTTGATTTCAAAACAGTCGAAACATAGACGCGAACATGAGAACTACAAGACTCGTGTTTAACATGGCCCTCACATTGGCGATCGCTACCATTGCATTTCTGTGCGCAACTGCCACAGCCGAACCGGCTCCAGACGCGGTAATTTGTCTTTAATGTCGAGTTAGGTTAACGAATAACCAAAGCCGCTCTTGGGTTGTTGTAGAAACAGTATCACCGTCCTTATTAATTTAATATTATTCAATTAAGAATTTGATATGCAGTGTTTACTTTTATATCTACATGTATATGTAAATAATGTTTTTACATTTATCATGCAAATGGCATATTTTTTAATTTTTATTTTCATAGAATGAAACAATCATCCTTAAAAAATAAATGGTTTTATTTGAAATGAATATTTTAATATATAATTCGTTCCCCTACGAATAACCATGTACTAATAGCAAGCTACTTTTTAGCACCCTATAGATACAGCAGTCCTTGCATTTGGTGGGAAATGAATGATGTTCGATATGAATCTTACGAAAGCGAAATGAACTTATGGCTATGTAATTCAAAGTTTACATGGCTATGTATTTAGTTAAAAATGTTTGATTCGAAAGATTTTACGACTTACATATTACGTCTATACCGCTACTAAGTTCGATAGTATTAATTATTCAATACATAATACCATTTCTACAAATTACTTCATTCTCTTATAGAACAGCCTTTGTTATCCCATGTCAGATGTGTAAGATCCTTCGGATTATAGCTTGAATAAAATAAGGTTTTCTCTATTTCTAGAACGGAACGAGAAAGGATCCGGATATAGTAATCCGATTGGGGAAATGACGAGTGAGGTGCAATTATGTAAAGTGTTAATAAATGATTACTCAATAAAGTAATTCGCATTCTAACGTGAATAAAGTAAAACGTTTTCTTTTTTTAAAACGTCGAGAAACTACCTCCGTCATTAACACCCTGAATGAGCAAGTGAATATTGTCGAAAACACAGTAAACTAATCGTTGAACACTTTCGATTCTACACAATGTTTTCACCACGTACGCGTGGCAGCAATTATGAAAATAAAAAGATAACCTTGAATCTGATTCAACCAGACCTTTTGTCATCACCATGATCCAAATATTATGAGCATTACTATTTTCGACGTGTCAGGTTCCACTAAGCCGACCTTGAAATAAAACTATAAACGTGGAAAACAAACTAAAGATAAACGAACCGAATTTTATGATTTTTTTGTACGATACACTTAGTAGTGTTAAAATCGTGCGAACGTTAATAAATAGCGTTCAAGTCACGTAAAAAACGATGCACATGATTTTCTAATCCATATTCTTCTTTAACGATCGGTTTGTTCACTGACACGATTACCGACCAAGTATAAATAAGCTTGCGAAATTTCATTTCGATACAGTCAAAACATAGACAGAAACATGAGAACTACAAGAATCGTGCTTAACGTTGCGCTCACTTTGGCGATCGCTACCATTTCTCTTATGTGCGCCACTGCTACAGCCGAACCTACTCCAGATGCGGTAATATGTCTTTAATTTCGAATAAATTTAATATCTAGTGAAGTTAACGAACAACCCTGAACTAGTCACGTTACTTTTTAGGACCCTATAAGTACAGCAGCTCTTAAATCTCTCGCTGGAAAATAAATGGTGTGCGAGATGAATCCTACGAATGCGAAGTAAATTTAGGGTTATGTAGTTGCAAGTTTATAATTCAACTGTGAAATATATGAAATAAAGATATAGGATGCGAAAGATTTTACGACTTACATATTACGTATATGCCATTACCAAATTCCATACCATGATAGTTATGTATAACACAACAAACCATTAAGAGTTCAATACATAACATCCCTTTTATTACTTCGTTCTCTTGGAAAACGGTCTTGATTGATCTATTGTCAGATGCTTAAGGTACTTCGCATTCTAAAATGAATAAAGTAAGACTTTTTCTTTTCCCAGGAGGCCGAAGCAATGCATCCGCCCTTTATACCTCGAATAGGGAAATGAATATTTCCGAAAATACAGTGAAGTAATGCCTATGCACTCTCGATTCAGTAGAATGCAGAATGCTTCCAACGCGTATGACAGCAATTTATTGAAATAAATGGTTTACTTTGAAATTGATTCGATCCGATTTTCTCACCCCAAAGATCTACACTACTATTATTTTCGACATGTCAGGTTGTACTGAACCGACCTTGCAATAAAACTATAAACGTGGAAAACAAACTAAAGATAAACGAACCGAATTTTATGATTTTTCTGTACGATACACGTGCTGTTAAAATCGTGCGAACGTTAATAAATAGCGTTCAAGTCACGTAAAAAACGATACACATGATTATCTTTTACATATTCTTCTTTAACGATCGGTTTGTTCACTGACACGATTACCGACCAAGTATAAATGAGCTTGAGAAATTTCATTTCGATACAGTCAAAACATAGACAGCAACATGAGAACTGCAAGAATCGTGCTTAACGTTGCGCTCACTTTGGCGATCGCTACCATTTCTCTTATGTGCGCCACTGCTACAGCCGAACCTACTCCAGATGCGGTAATATGTCTTTAATTACGAATAAATTTAATATCAAGTGAAGTTAACGAACAACCTTGAACTAGTCACGTTACTTTTTAGGACCCTATAGATCCAGCAGTCATTGCATCTCTCGCTGGAAAATGAATGGTGTGCGAGATGAATCCTATACGAATGCGAAGTAAATTTAGGGTTATGTAGTTTCAAGTTTACAATTCAACTGTGAAATATATGAAATAAAGATTTAGGATTCAAAAGATTTTAGGACTTTCATATTACGTGCATACCGTTATGAAGTTCCATATTACAAAAGTTATGTGTAACACTGGAAAGTGTTAACAGTGCAATACATAATACATATCCCTTTTATACGTTTATTTTGTTATCTTCGAGAACGTTCTTGGTTGATTGCATGTCTGATATAATAAGCTTAAGGTACTTCGGATTATAACTGGAAGAAAATAAGGTTTTCTCTTTTTCTAAGCCACGAAAAGACGTGATTCGTCTTTGTATGTTCGATTTGGCAAATGACGGTCGAGGTGTACGATGAGCAATATTAATCAATAATTATACTGAATAAGAAATGATTTTTTAATTTACCGATATCTCGATCCTGATTTGTGCATTTGTGACGATCAATTGTGACTTTAATTGTTTTCGTGATGCCGTGTATTGCGTTGTTTTCATTGAATTAGTTAAGATTCCAAAGTTACGATGAATCATTATTTTGAAGTTCTAAAAGACGAGCAACAATAATACGTAAAAACGACATCTAGCGGACAAGAAATGGCACTAATTGTCTAGCTGCTTGTGAGCTTCAACGTAGATGACACCACCAGTTTATTTTTTTTTTTAATCACATTTGACCACAAACTAAATATAAAATAGACCTAACATCTTATGGGACTTCGTGTCTCATGTTCTGAAATACCGATTCTGCCATGATGTAAGATTATCCTAACATCGCAAATCCTGCAAAAAATAAGAGATTTTTTGCTAGTCCCATACGATGGTGAATCTAACCAATACCTTGTCTGTGGTTATACAAATCTATTAAATACTAAAAACTATATCAACCTTTGCTATTCGTATTTAAACGTATTTATTACTTTGTATATTTATCTATAGAGCTGATATCTATCTGCTCTGTATTTGCAAGTTTCAACTTCTAAAAGTTCAACAATTGAGTACTCGCTTTAAGCATTTACCAGAATCTTTGAAAAATTCATTTGTATACAAACTTTGTGCATCTCCGTGGATATTATTGTTCCGATTTATACCTTCGTAAACCCCACAAAAGAAAATTGCTTACTTGCTTCAGTGAAATATCTGTGTAATTCCAATTTGTGATAATCTAATTCGGAAAATCCACGACGTAACAGCCAGCTGTCGCTTTGGTGAATGACTTTTTACTGATCGGAGTGCAGTGGGGACAAGTATTCCAACGGACAGTGTACATAATCGATAAAACAACGATGGTTTCAAGCGTTGTATAACAAAAAAACAGATTCCCCGATTTACGACGCAATAGAAATAATTGCTTCCATGACTCTGGAAAATTCTCGAACGTAAAACGCGCGCGCATCACGGGAACCGTTGCGTCTTACAGTCACGTTAGACTCGCGTCGCTCACAGAGAAACTCGGCTTTTCGCTTTGTCGAGAACAGCACGGAACGTACGGAACGAACGCAATGGAAACGGTCCTAGTGGCGGCGCGCCGCTAGGTGATACGCGGTTGTGATACGTTTTATGGTGCGGAAATGTAAGAGTTTCGGGTTGAGAACGGGAAAAACGACATTGACTAGCATGCGACGTTAACCGGACAAGGGGGAACCGAACGGATCGCGCAAATTCGCCGAAGGTTTCTGTCAGGATAAAGTGATAACAGGATGACACTCGTGGTTTGAGAGAAGATCTCGGTTCCGTTCGCGTGTAGCCTGCCACTTGCGACATGGCGGGTTTTCGGGACGAGGACAAGGCTCTGTTTCCTATACGGAGCATCTCCTCTATCGTTCAGATTTTCCAAAATCAGCTGGAAAACAGTACGGAGCCAGACTTGGCGTTGCTCTCGATCCTTGTCGGCGCGGTCGAGAACTCCCTAACCTGCAACCGTACGTTCGCGTCGCAAGAGACCACTGTTTACGACGAGCCGAAGCTGCCGGCAGTCGAGTTCCACATCGCCGAGGCTCTCTACACAAAGTTCCATGCGGTGATCAAAGGGGCGGTCGATCTTACGGTCTACGACACCAAATACGCGACCAGAGAGCTCGTCAAAAAGGTCTCCGACGTGATATGGAATTCTCTCACTAGAAGCTACTACAAGGATCGCGCGCATTTACAAAGTCTCTATAGCTACTTGACAGCAAACAAACTCGACTGCTTCGGAGTCGCATTCGCGGTGGTTGCTGGCTGTCAGGTCTTGGGATTCAAAGACGTGCATCTGGCTATGTCAGAGGATCATGCTTGGGTCGTTTACGGAGAGGATGGGACAGAAACGGCAGAAGTAACGTGGCACGGTAGGTTTTTACTGTGGCCGTTATAGTTCTCACCAGGATATGGCGTAGTCGTAAAATAATTCGGGCACAGAATGAAATGTGTGTTTCGAGCGGCGGAACAACTATTTAAAAGATAAATGGGGAGATAAGGGGCTCGAACGACGTTCACTGCTGTACAGTGTCAAATTTAGATCCAAGATACTACTGATGTTATGACTGACATTAGTCGGCGCCATCGCTTTATGTGTTAATTTACGACCATGCTATACTGTGCTGAGGACTGAACTCTGTGAACCTATTGACTGGAATAACAACAGAATTTATGCATTTATAGGAAAGGGAAATGAAGATAAGCGTGGCCAGCCTGTCGAGCCTGGCGTGGCTTCGAGGTCATGGCTGTACGTGAATGGACAAGCAGTTGTCTGTTCGAGGGCCATGGAAGTAGCCACTATAGTGTCAGCTATAAATCCTAGTTTAAGCGCGACCGCGGATGCCGCAGAAGTGGCATTGCTGCAGCAGGAACTGCTGTGGTTGTTGTACGATTTAGGTCATCTGGCGAAATATCCTATGGCTTTAGGTAATTTAGGAGATTTAGAAGAGGCTGCGCCAACACCTGGCAGACCGCCTGCCATAGACCTGTTTCAGGTATACATTGTGAACTATTCCCTGTAGCATACTTGCATTCGATTGCCTTTCTTAAACGATACTCCAACTTCTCCAGGAGGCCATTCGATCGGCGAGAAAGTATTATGGAAACGCTCATGTGTATCCGTACACTTACCAAGGTGGTTACCTGTACAGACACGGACTCCACGCGAACGCGTTAGCGTCATGGGCGGACGCGGCAGATGTCTTGAGAAAGTAAGTATCTAAACGGTAAACGAAACGTAACCAGGGATCGATCGCTTATAGAGGTTTCTTTCTCCGCTTTTCTTAACGCGCCCCAGGTACGATTATTCGAGAGACGACGGAGAAATATACAAGGAGCTGCTGGAAATAGCGAACGAATTGATACCGCACACGGTACGGGCCGACGAACGTCTGTTAAGACAACCACGATGTTTCGCGTATCTTTTGAGGTTTTACGACGGCATATGCCAGTGGGAAGAAGGCGCGAACACGCCGGTTCTGCACATCGGCTGGGCCCGACCTTTGGTGAACACGATCTCGAAGTTCGACGCCGGTATACGCGCTCAGGTGATCATCGAGTGTTACGACGCGGAGGCGAGGCAAGAGGAGGAACGAGCGCAGAAGAGAGAAACCAGCCCGGAGGAGACGTTGAACAACAACAACAATAATTACTGCAAGACGAAAGAGAGGGGTAACACGGCCCGCGATTTGATCAAAAGCTTAGAGTCCAAAGTACCTTCGAACCCCGCGCCGACGCATCCTAGTATTCAAGCGTTGACCGCGGCGTGCAGCGAAAAAATACTTAACAGAGATTACCTCATCCAAGGTGGCGGAGAACCGTTCGTCGCTCCGCCTGACGACACGCTTCCACCGGCACCCTCGACTTCTCAGGAAAATCTCGATCCCGAGGTGGAGACAGACTCGGAGAACGAGAAACCGAGGATCACGTTGTACAGTCAAAAGATGAAGGGCCTGAAAGATCTGCTGCTGGCCGAGAAGTTGAACACGCACGCGATCTCGTTGCAGTTGACCGCGCAGAGTCAGGTACAAATCGGTAAGAAGTCGCGGGGCAACGACGATGTTGGTGTCAGTCAACGCCCTAAAAGAACGCGCCGGGAATAGTATAAGATCTTCGACCGTCGTTTCGGTATCGTGAAGTATTGAACACAGTGCCACCGGGATAGAGGACCGTGGCACGGAAACGAAACCACCCGTATATGGAAATATGTTTTCCATATATATATATATCGTTAGAATCTCAAGTCTTCGCTCGTGGTCTTTTTTCTTGTTTCCGAGTGGTATTAGTTGCCGATTCCAGCATCTCGCGGTTCGATGATCGCGGTTGCGCGGCGACCACACATGTGGTGATGAATTTTGTGCCGTTTCGTTTAAACACACTCCTCCCCCCGTATCACAGCGCGTACACACCGTGTCCTCTTGCATCGTTTACGCGCTCGTACGGGCGTATTGTCGTGTAGATGTAGATAAAGTAGAACACGAAAAAGTTTGTAGAAGAGTACAAAAAAAAAACAAGAACAGTTTTCTCGATTTTTAGGTTAACTATCGAAATCGTGAAATGCTTGCGTTTCGTATTTTTTACGATGAAAAATATACTAGCGTGCGAACGTCTTCTTTCTTCCACGGTCTTCTTGTAACTGTACAAGAACTGTGAATGAGAACACGGGGATGGGTAGGGAATCAGGGATGGGTCGGGGTTAGGGAGGGTGGGAGGGAGAGGGATGCGTGAGGTAAAAGAAAGACGATAAATCGAACAAATGTACCTAATCTTCGTGGGGAATACCAGGTTTTTTTTTCAGCACAGTTATTTATTCCGCGACGTACCAACGATTCGATCGCGTACTTTTATCCTATTTCTAATCTCTTGTTGCACTCTTATTTATTGACCCACGTGTTTATTATTTTTTTTTCTTCTTCTTTTTGTTTTTCTATCGAGCTGTCGCACTACGAATCAATTATACGATAGACAAGGTTGTCGTTAATGTTTTTTACAAGGTAGTAGTTGATGATTTTGTTAGAATTACGCTTTTTACGATTCTAGTAATTAGATGACCACACATTCCACTCCGTAATGTGGTGCAAATTAATTAAGTTTCTACCTAAGGTATATTTTTAAGCATAAAATGCTCGCTTATTTTTGTAACTATTTATTTTCAAAGTAATTATAAGTATCTATTTCTAGAACTGATTTTTTCGCTACTTTAAACGGATATATAGATCGGAATGAAACCGTGTGTGTAAGGACAGAGTCCACCGAAAGCTAGGTACCACGCAGAGGCGTTCGACGTCAATTTACACGCGCGTAGACCCGCTATCCAGCTAGTCCTTCAGGGCCTATAATATTCGGGCTTGAAACTAAATGATCATTGATAGTCATCGCGTGAACAGAAGGAGAACAGAGGATCGTGCTCTGTGAATCGTCTGAAAATATGTTCGTGGAACGAACGAATTATGAAATGTTCTCAGAAGCGTTACTTTTCCATCGATCGAGAGAAAATCGGTGTCACTTGTTCAAGATCTGCTACCGAACGAGTGCTTTGCCATTGTACTTAATAGAAAAATTTATCGGCTGTTCGATCAAAGATCCCTTCTGTTCAAATCAGGGCTTGAAACGGTCCCGAAAATAACTGTTTCGAACTGTTATACAAAGGTTCCGCCTGAAACAGTTATGAATAGACTGCGGATTTTTATGCAAAATAACATTTTCCAAAGTGATTTATAAAGGCAGGATCAAATTTATTTTTCCTCTTGAGTATCTTATTGGATTCAGAATAAAATAGAAAACTCGTTAGATCCGATAAAATGTTTGCCTTCTATTGTATTTCACAGAGTCCTGGAGGCTTATAAATGCATAAAATCCGCAGTCTAGTTATGAAAAATCTTTATTCTGAATAACTGTTCTGAAGAACCTAAGTCGATATCGTAACAGTTTACAAGCCCTGGTTCAAATCTTTTGTCTGTTCCGGGTCTGCTAACCAGTTGCGCGTCTTTTGAAAAAAAAAACTTCAGTTCCTCCCAACGATCTATATATTGGTTAGCATTGAATTCAGGTAACGAAGAAAGAAAAAACACGAGGGAACGATATATCGTGCGTCAATTGGTTCCGTAGCCAGATGTTTGTTACTTCCGTTGTATATTCACCTCCGCGGTGTGTTTACAGTATGGAACGAAGATGCCAGTAGAGAGCTCGTCTATTATATATTTCACTCGGTGGAAACGAGATACGTTTCTTCCTTTTCCGAGTTAAACGCGCGCTTCGTGACTCGTTCGACTGCAAAACCGGAGGGATAAGAGTTAGGGCTGTAACGAGATAACCTTTATCCGAGCATTCGCAAAAAAGAAAAAAAAAAAAAAGAAACTCTGCACACGTTCGTTGACGTTTTTTGATCCACGCGTTCACCCCGGTGGGTGGGGCAGTATTTCACGAAATTGTCGGTAATATACATATATTATATCTGTATACATAGGTACTAGAGTACACGCGTGCTGCTACGAGAGTTTATCGATCGGTTGTTAACGGATAATCGTTTCTGTCGGGCACACAGTGTGTTTTCTGTATCCGACGCGTACTACCGATGATTAACTTTTCTTCTTTTCCACGGTTCAGCCATTTTGGTTGCCGTTGACCAGGTTCGCGGACACGATTCACCGATCAGTGTACACGCAATGGCAGCGATGCCACACCTCCGATTGTCGCAATTACATTATTCGGATATAATGTTTTAGACAGTGTTGTTTGTAGAGTATGTTGTTAACGGGAGTGAATGTAAAATGGTTTAATCGTAGTAAGTAACGAAACGAAGTCCCTTGCGCGCCGTGTTTGATTCTAATTAAATTCAAACGATCGTACGGATATTACGTAGAAAGAATATGGAAAAATTAGAGGAAAAAGGGGAAAAGTATAAAAATAGTCTGCTAACCCGTCTCGTTCGCGCATATCACAACGACTGGTAATTCTGTGAGATTTTACGCGAAAATATCGGCCATCGACGTTTATTAGGTTCGTGTTTTCACTCTATTGGTATCTGTTTCTTTTAGATACGCGGCACGTTACGGCATTCGCGGTGAATTCGTTCTACAGAAATTATATCGTCGCGTTTATCGATCGCTGCGGAGACGAATCCGCAAATGAGAATAACGTGCGCAAATGAGTTAACGAGAAGTATACGTAAATCCTCGGACGCTCGTACGACTACGAGGAGGCTGACTTTTTATCGTATCAAAAACCTATATGCATTCTTATACATATTTTCCAAACGAAAACTGACACATTTCAAGTTTCTTTTCCCGTCCGCAGCTTCTCTTCGAAGCATCGTTGTTCTCGTACCGATTACGAATTCCACAATTTCGGTTGGGGGATAAAGAAACGAGGTTTTCTGAATCAATCGGTAATTATTTGAACACTCCTCATACGGTATTTCCAATGTTTCCTTCTTTCCTTGTCAGCGATAAAACGAGCGTTTCAAGAACTACAGGGATTATTGTGCGTAATTGATAATAGGACTAGTAGGAAGAAATATGGTGCAACAAAACAGTATTTTTGTATTAGCTATGGGCGCAGAGGGATATATTACTCTCCGATATTAATTATTATTATTCGTACTATTCGAACGTTTAGGGATCAAAGTGTTTGGCAGCATCCGTTCTCGTTCTCACAATATCGATGATCGCGTGTTCGAAAAAAAAAGAAAACACACGGAGACGAACATGAAAAGGGTGCTCTCGGGGATGTGGAAACTCCCGTTTGGCGAAAGCGATAGAACATAGACGCTATTGCACGCGCAACAGATTAAATTTCTCTGTTCGTTTCTCACGAATGTTAAACTATTCTCGTCTCTCACGAAACGATATCGTTATCCTTTTCTATATCAATACTGCTTCGAATGAACTACTTTCCAACCGTTTGCTCCGTGAACCTTGAAAATTCCTCGAAACCATATATAGTTTCTCCAGTGTTTTGTGAGAAAAATGTAAATTCCATACCGAAAATCCATGGTCCCTCCGAATAGAATGAAAATCGGTAAACGAACGTTTCTTCGCGATTTGCGTCGAGAATAAAATGAAGGGACTACGAATTTCCATTTAGAAACTGTTTAGTCGATATCCACGCGCCGAACCTTGTACTCAAATAAATGGACAGAAAGAAAAATGCAGGAGATGTGTTAACCCTTTGCAGTATGTCCTCGTAATCTGTTTACATCTGATATTGTTATATACTCATGCTCGATTTGCAGTTTCCACTGAAATGTTTAAAACGAATCATCGACGATTTATTGTGTGCACGGGTTGTGGAGATATTTGCGAGCATCGTAGCTCGATGTGAGTGCCCCAGTTCGCGAGAAATTACTACGTGTAATTCGAATTATCGAGGATCGCTCGTGATCGAAAACGATAACTCGCGCACCTGTGTTCTTTCGATCAAGATCGATCTTCCACAGGGCATATATTGATTACAGAGAGTAACGAATACTATATGCTCCTATGATCGGTATTCAAACATTTTCTCTCGAGTGTACTTAACGAACAAACCGACAGACGGACACGATTTAATACAAGAGGCGTGTTTTGCGTACAGGTGACATGCTTGGATGGAACACAACAAGGTTTTAAATTTAAACAACGACGATCGTATCGAATATCGTAAATGGGAGACGAATGTATTCACGGTATTTGTTCAGTGGCGACGGAACACTCGGGCGGCCATGTTTGTTTCGAGAGCACGCGACAACGATCATTGGCGCCTTTTCGTGGGCGATGTAGGTATTGTGTGAGAGCGATTCTAGGTTTTTTCGTTCCGTTATAACGGGTATTCCGACATACATAATATACATATATAACGTGTATATGTATATACATGAACAAAAAAACAAATATATATATATGTATATAGATATATAAATGCAGAATCTGTTACGCGCTATTTAAAAAAAAAAAAAAAAGAAAGCGAATTATCGTGAACAAGAAATTCTTTCGTAGACTATTTATCGAAACGAATGCTCTGTATTGCTCACCTCGACGTTCTGACACGATACACGAGATTTCGCGTTTCCGTCGGGTCTTGAACATGGAGATAATGTGTAATCACAGCTATATTGTTAACCGGTACACGCAGCAGCGAGTCTACAGGCGTCATCGAAACGTCTTGTTTTTTTTCTGTGGATTATAATAAACTATTTTATTCTATCCGTGTTAGTTTCGTGTAAAACAACAACGTCCTGTGTCCCCATTCCTTGATCCACCCACGTTTTCTCCACGATGAACCAAAAAAATGAACGTTTTCCCTCTCGAGTGTGTGTGCATACCTTTTCTCTTTATTTTTGTTTTCCAAGTTACAGACTTTTTCACGACGGACGTCTTCGGTACTTTCTAAAGGCAACGGTTTTATCGCGAATAATGAACATAGGAGCCTCGACACGGCGTTCCAAAAAGACGGACGACAATAACGCGTTCATGGGGGAAGGAATGTTTCATTCTCTTTTCTTTATTTCTTTTGCTTTCTCGCGACGCGTACGAGGCTCTCGATTAGCGATAAATACCTTGAACGATCGTACAAAAAAAAAAAAAAATACGTAATAAATTACAGATGAATCGAGGGGTGACTCTTACGCAACTAGTAATATTTGGTCGTTTCGAAGTAAAAACGTTGTACCACCGTATATCTCTAACGTGCTCTATTCGTTGGAACGAAATTCCACCGTTCCTCAAATCCACAGGTATCTCGGTTACACCTTCGAAAAAAAAATACTCGGAACACGAATCGAACGGAGCATGAGGGGGGCAAGACGGGTAACTTACAAACTGCACGTTTGATAAAACACGTCGATTCTATCGTACAAAATTTTCGACTGTACCACGGATATAGACATAACCGGTTTTTCACACGCATCCTCGACGAATTATAATCGTTTATGCATATTATTACGCTAAATTACCTTTGATTCGTGGACACCTTAAATCTCTACGCTGGCACGATGCTCGGAGGAGAGACACACGCGCGATACTATAATACTGCTCTTACGAGGCGATCGTACAATTCAATCAGACGATCGAAAAAGAAAAAACGCGTAAAACTTCGTCCATATGGGACCGACAAAGAGTGCAGAGAACGATACGAACGATCGATTTTCTTAAATCGTCGTTGGGAATTGAAGATAAAAATAAAATAGAAAGAAACGGATAACGATTATTGGTGATCTATCGTCTGAAAGAACCACTCGGTGAAACGTCGAAGCTGCTGAGCGGCCGCGTGACTCTCGTCCTGTAAACGACGATTCTCGTCCCTCAGACGACGCACCTCGTCCTCCAGCGAGAGCCTTCGTCGCGTCTCTCTGGCTACCCTCAGCTCGAGAGTGGAGAGATGGGACTGCAGGTCCGTCACGGAATTCCTGAAACGACGAAACGAAAGTATCGTTACGGACCTATTTCCTGATCTGAACCCAATTCCTGATCAGTTCAGTATACAGATACAGATGTAATGAGTTTATTAAGATGAATTGTTAAGTCTAAAAATTACTAAATAATTATTAACTATTTCGAAATATGTATGTAAAATTTGATAGCTGAGGATGATATACAGACACATCGTCGCCCGATTTTTCGAAATTTCGGTTATCCATTTTGATCCAAAGAATACAAATTCACCGTAATATAAATGAAAATTCAACCTAGAAAACAACAAATATCCTTTTAAGTCTTAACTCGGGAACTTTGGTTTCTTTTTTCTTAACGGTTGTATCTTCAAATACTACCCAGATAAAATAGCCGTAAAATGGGCGTCTTCAAGAGTAACAACAATAAAATATTTATATTGACAATAAGGTAAAATTTTGTTAAATATTGTAATAAGTAGCTATTCAGTGGATATTATACCAATCGCAGCGCGTAGCCAATGTTACCGCGGGAACTCGGCTAGCAGACTCACGCTCTGATTGGTCGGGGTTTTTCTGTTAATATCTCGTTAACAAATCATCGGATAACATTTTTGCTAAGGAAAAATTTCTTTCAAATCACCTCACGAGTATTGTTACAATTATTAACGGGTATATACGCTTATTGGTTATTTTACTTTATAGCAAGTGATCAGGAACTGGGTCCGTAACGGGATCATTTGTACTACGCGAGAGGAACGCAACGCGACCAAAGCACGATCGAACACTTCCGTTTCTGTTAACGTTCTGAACTTACGCGATGGCACCGCATCTATCTAAGAGCCGTTCGTCGGTCCATTCTTGGGGATGCTGCTTCGATCTACCGTCAACGAGATGGTTTTTCCAACGGTCTACGTCTGCGTCGTTGTGATTCTTGGGGTCTTTGATCGACGTTAAGTTGCTCGGTGCTTTGGTCATCGAATGGGACGGTTTGGTGACGCGCGGCGACAATCTAAACACGCGTGTAACGCACAGACGAGAGATTACTCTAACCGTTAGACCCGTCTCTTCTCACGCCGCGTCAATACGTTCGGTTTCGTTCTTCGTCGTCTCTATTATTTACGTATCGTTTTTACCTCTCTTCCTTCGACAGCTTGTTCTCGCTGGGCGCAGGACTGGACGCGGTGCTAGCGTTTGAGATCACCGTCGCCGGTCTGGCCATCGTTAGGATCACCTCCGAGGCGTTTCCGTTGTTCCCACTTCCGTTCCCGTTCCCATCCCCCGTGCTGTTCCCGTTCTCGTTCTCTTGCCCGTTTGTCGGCATAACGGTCAGGGTGCTGGCGCCGCTGCCGCACAGGTTCTCCCTGGATCTGCATCGGTTCTGGAACTCGATCAGATTGTTGTTGATCTTGTTCGGATTCTGATTCCCGATCCAGGTGGTCACATTCAGGTTGTTGTTTGCTAGTTGACTGTCGTCGGCAATATAATCAGGATTGATCAGTTTCATCAGGTCCTCTTGAAGCGTGCTGGACGTAAGGTTCGCGGAATTCCGATGTGAATTCCGTACGCCCGGTTTCGGTCTAGGGCTTTGATTTCGCGAGCTGCCGCTAGACGGCGTCAGATTCCCGCCTCGATGTTTGTTTGCTCTTCTGAGTCTAGGTGAGACACTACCGGAACCGGTGGATAGTTCGTCCTCGCTCTGCAGGGTGGTCGTTTCCGAACAGTTTGCGTCAGAGATACGCATCTCGGGCGGTAGACTGGCGGTGAAGTCCTTGGTTTGTCGATACTCGACGTTTATCTTGTGAGGTACAGGCCTTTCGGTCATGGTCGTCTTCAAACAGGTGACCTTCTCGCCTACCTTGAACTCGTGCGGTATCTCGTATCTGATAGAATCGCGACTTTGCTCGCCGCAATCGGTGTGCTTTCGTTCGTTCGCGTTATGTGGACACTCGGTCATCTCGTATTTGTTGATATCCATGTCGTATTTACTGTTTCGCCTCTCGTACACTTCCTCGGGATAATCGTAGCCGCTGATCGTCCTCTTTTCGTGAACACGCGACTCTTGCTCGTACTTCCCTGGCATTCGATCCATCATCCTTTCGTCTTGCGTTTCGTATTTAGAGGATCTGTCGGGTTTCCCGTCGCAATCGTATTTGCTGGATTGCTCGTAATCGCTGTATCGACCCAGATTGCTGTTGTTGCTGGTGGTGTTACCGCTGCTGCTGTTTGACTTTGGAAGACTGTAGGTCGTGTTTTGGGCGAGAGGAAGCGAACTGGACGCGGTTAATTTCTGGTGAGAGACGTGATGCCCGTCGTTTTTGTGAAGTTCCCTCTGGGAGGCGTATAGATTCTCTTGCTTGATCTCGTACTTCTCTTTCTGAAGCTTCACGTAATTGGAGGGGACGTGATCCTGACTACGGTGAGCGTTCTCCAATTGTTTTTGGTAACTCTCGTGTCGGAGGCTCTCCTGTAACGCTTTCGACGACACGTAATTGCCCTCCTTCCCGTAATTGTCGTGTCCGTGGTGCTTCGAGCTCTCCGCGAACTGTTTACTGCTCGCGTAATGGGATTCCTTGTCTTTTCTCTGAGAGGACTTTGGCGTGATCACTTGATAATTCTGTCTGGCTGGAAGAGGCGGCGGCGGTGTACTATCCGCCCGATGCCCGTTCTCTTGGTCCTGGGGCTCCAGGAGTTCGTACCTGCCGCGAGAAAAGTCTGACACGTAATACATACATCGAGGCGCGACACTTTATGATCGATATATCGTACCGAGATACAACGTGAAAGAGATCGATGATCCGGAAATTGCTATTCTTACCAGCGATCGTCGGTGCTGCTGTGACCGCTGCTGCTGGTCATCGTTCCCTCCATGGGGAAACGGGGATCGTTGAACGATCTGGAACTGGACCCGGTTCCGTAGCCGGAACTGTTGCTCGATCTCGGCGGACTGAACGAACGCTCGTATCGCCTCTGATGAGACATCGCTGTCTGCTGACTCGGCGTGTTATCCGGGCTCGTTACGTTCTCGTAGTCTCCCTCGTAGCTGCTCGACAAGTACTGGCAATTTTGCACCGTACAGCCTCTGCATCAGAATGAATAAGACGTTTACAATACATGTATTCAGACACATACTCGTTTATTGGATTCTGTCCCCCTTCCCTTAATACCCTAATCACGTGCATATTTTGCCTAATGGTTAATCCTAACCCTGTCCAGGGGATGTAGCTTACCTCCTTGGATTATTGTCGTTATTTGGCGGTATCACGGTGATCGTGACTTGGGCGGAGGTCTTCAGCAAATCGACCATCTGATCGTGACTCAACGTGGACACCGCCACTTTGCAGATCTCGACAAGCCTCGAGCCTTGTCTCAGTCCCGCCTGCCAGGAGAGTCCCATGCTCTCGACCTGCGTCACCACCCCGTCCGGTTGAACGTGGAAACCCAATTGTCCTAGACTGTTTCTGGGAGCCACTATCTCCATTAACTCGTCCCTCTCGCCGTAATCGCCGCGCACGTGAATGGTGATGCACTCCCCTTGATGATAGTAAAGCCTCAAGCTGCAACGAGGACGAAGAATGAAAAGTAGGTGAAGTACAAAAAGTACTGTAGTGAAATACAAAATGAAATTCATTGTTCGTGGATGTAGAAATAATACCTGTTTGTTTGAGCGTGCCAGCCAAGGACACTCACGCACGGTGCGACGAAAACTATCTGTCTGGAATGTTCCTCGATCAGAACGATAGTATCCACACTGATTCCTAGGTAACAGTCGGTGTTCTGGTTACTGTCCTCCAGTATCACTTGCCAGCATATCGCGCCACGTTGCGAAGCGTCGCAGGACAGTCTCGGTCGCACGGTCGCTTTCTTCTTGCTGCTGAACGACAGCATAGCTGTGCCGGAAAAGAACAGTTCTCGTGAATATCGTGGCTTCAAGGGTGATTGCTAATCGCTGATTAGATTGCAAAACAAGAGATACAAGACACAGGGGGCAGCCAAGGAACTTACAAAATTTCTGCCCTGTATCGACCACTGTCGTGGAAGAGTAGTTCGTCGCCAGATCCTTCAGATACTCTTGCCTCGTTCTGGTCGCCATCGTGGCGAATTTCTCCGACCTACAAGAACAAGCATGTATTCTTTATACTCTCTCCGTGATTATGCTCAATTAGAAAGAAGGTGGAAGAAGAGAACGACGTGTTACCTGTGCGCAGCGTTTTCAGCGTTGATCACTTTCGCCAGAATGAAGTCGGCGAACGCTTTTCCTTTGACGAAGGTGGCACCAGGTGGAACAGGTGGGCCGAAAACGGGCACCTCCTTGCTTCGTGATACGGCCAGGCTGTACTGAGTATTATCGGAACACGGGTTCGTGGCTCGTACCACAATAAACACGTGCTGGAACTGCGAGCGTATCCTGCGTGGACTGAACGGCAACGCGCCAGGCTCCTGTTGAACGAAACAGAACATATACAGGGTGTACCAAAAATGTTGAAGGGCCAGTAAATGGGAGACTCGTGAGGTTACCACGCAGTGTATAACAATTTTTAATATAACACTGCTCTGCTATACAGGTGTAGCAAAATAGCTTCGACTCCCGGAAATGAGGGGTTTCTGGGATGATTTTAAACAAGTTTTTCCTTAGCAAAAATGTTATTCGAGGCTTTGTTAACGAGATATTAACGAAAACCTCCGACCAACCAGAGCGCGAGTCTGCCATTGAAAAGGTTGCACGGCGACCGAACCGGCAGGAAGCAATTCAGCCTAACTGCGAGTTATCGCCGGGGCGCGCTCCATTATTCTCTTCTTACCTGGAAAACTATCGTGACGATATCGTTTCCGATGTGTCTCTTCCTGAGCAGCTGCTGCCTGTTATTCGGCGTAAAGGGTAACATCGTGGACACGTGAAACGTCACTTCCGCCCCTCGATGGGTCGCGGCGACTGCGTGGGTACCGGTCGAGTCGGTTCTAGTGTCGAGACCGGCCTTGTAACCTTCGAATCCTCGCAGTCTTATTCTTTGGCCTATCGCGTAACGTGTAAACATTATTATTATTACTATTATTATGTATGTTTCAACATTTTTTTGCTATCGTCCTATCCTCGTAGAGGAAGATTGCCGAATTTGAACAACTTTCCCCTACATTTATTTATTTAATTAATGTAAATGCCCTTTTGTTAAAAAAAGTTATAACTGAATGAAGATGAACAACGAACTGTTTTTAAATATTTTTATATTCGTGGTGTTCTACGATTGCTCACCGATAGCGTCGAGGAACTCGAGAAATGCCGGTCCAGCGTGCTGATTGTTGTACATCTCCTCCTCGGTTCCCTGGCCGGATCGGCAGTAGAGCACGCCGACCTTGTACCTGCTGGATAGCCCTTGTTCGTCCAATCTGGCTAGAGCCTCTTCAGCGGCGGGAGTGCCTAACCTGAGGCAGCCAAGCTGCACTTCCGGCGCGACCAGTTCCAATAGCTCTCTGGTTGGTAGTCTATTGCCCTGCGGCCTTATACCGAGAGCCTCCTCCGGTACCGAGCCCCGAAGCGTCAACAGTTCCGAGGTGCGCACGATTATTCTGTATTGACTGACGTCCTTTCGAACGCTGATCGCCACCGGGCCCAATTGCTCATCCATACCGAACCAGTTTTGGTGCTCCCGACCTGGAAACACGGTTAAATTCGCGGTCGTTAGGTCGCGTTTGAATTAGCCCAAAATGATTCCAGACCAAATAAAAAATGAATTTAAACCGAATACAGATCACATTCAAAACAAATTCAGGATAAATCGAGATTTAATCTAGACCTAATTCAAACCATATTCAAACCAAGTTCAAACTATATTCGAACCAAATTCAAACGAAATTCATATCGATGGTCCTTGGCTTACCTAGGAAATATCTCCTGTAATAATGAGCGCCTTCATCGACGCTCTCGATAGGTAGCGGCCTCTTCTGCAGCGGACACGCATGCTTCCACAATGTTTCCCCGGGCACTGGTTCCAAAACTGCGATCCCGTATGACAAAGGCGGTCTATGGACCCCATTGCCTTGGGAGCACCGTGTCAAACTCACGTCTCGTTCGCCCTCGCCGCCAGTCTCGTTTCGGAAAAAGGGACAGGATTCCAGGAGATCGTTACCTGCGGCGATCGATTAAATGACAAAATTCCAATCAATTCCAAGATATACTCGAAGGCCTTGCCACGGTATTCTGCAGTCCATGTCTCAACGATCGTGGATCGTTCGAGTGGAAATTGGAACAATAACTATACATATGAAGAGTTCAAGGAAAAAACGACCACAGTCACAAAAAGTAAAATTTTCAGTATTTCAAAAATATACTTCGTGAACTGTCCCTCGCTAAACACGATCAAAAATTTAATATTTTCTTAGAGTACTTAACTTCATAAATTTCACGAGAATAAAATTTGTTTTTATGGTTTCAAAATATTAGAATGTTCTTGTGAATCATTTATACAGGATGGTCCACGCAACTTGTTCACCCGGTATGTCGCCTAGTATGTACAAAAAAATACCACAAAATATTTCTTCGCTCATTTTTATATAATTTGGCAATAAAAGGGTTAAGGGGGGCCACTTTCCAGCAAGCTGACATCCTGGTCAGTCCGCAGCTGTTGACAATATGTACCTTTTCCATCACCAGCGTCTTCTTCGGGCGTCTCGTCGGGAGTGGACGCCCTAAATGAACTCGCAGCTGAAGCTCCAGTCGCGGTGTTTCGCCTTCTGGCCAACAGAATTCCCCTCAATTTTGCCGCGTAACCGAGATTCGCCGTCAGCGACTGGCAGTCGTAATGCGCGAACGCTCTGCGTCTGTGCCTCTCCTCGACGTCCGCCGAAACCACCGGACTGCTGCAGCTCTCCTCCATAGCTCGGGGCGGTTTCGCGCCCCACAATCTATTCAATTTCAGTCGTAACTTCGGGCTCGAGCCACCGGTCGGACCGCAGACCTCGTCCGTGTCCGCCGTCTGTCCGTCTGTTGGAACTGAGACGCGTCTCAGATAATCGACGCCAACCGAATTCCGTTGGTCCGACGACGATGACGATGGCCTGAGCTCTTGAAGCATCGCGAACAAATTCTCGCCGACCGTCACAGACTGAGCCACTACGTCGATGCTTCCTACGAGAACAGGGACCACGTAAAAACGAACGTAGAAGCGAATAAGTAAAAAGACGCTCTCGGATAATAAGGGTGGTTTCTCCCACAAAGTCAAAAAGTACCAACAACCAGTTACGGCAACATTCTCAGGTTGGTCCCATAAAGAATCGAGCAAAGTTCCAGAAAAATCGGCGTCTACAATTTCGCGTACATCCTTCGTGGAGCGATCGATCGATCGACTCCGTGATCTCCTTTTACATACACTGGACTCTAACTATATTGCCATGGTCGGGGCCGCAGGGGAATGAAATGGCAATGAGTTTAGAGCCCCCTCTATGCTAAGTTCTATCGTCATAGCCTTGGCCTCAGCGTCTACGCAAAAACTGGATCGTGGGGAGGGGATTTGTGTGCTCAAAACGTACATGGAAAGGGGAAGTGCCTCGCACTGGCAATATGTTTAGTGGCAATATAGTTAGAGTACAGTGTATTTGTGTCACTTACCGTGGGACCCATATTCCCGTCTCAATGGCGCTTCTACAGTTCGCGAGCCAGGATCAGGACTGTGCGGAAGTTCCAGGCTGGAGTTCGATCTATGAAGGGCCAATCCGCGGGTCACGCGGCTGCTCGGCCCTCCGCTGCCGCCGCCGCCATGTATAGACAGGCTCGCGATCATCTCTTCATTCTGTGAACAGTCAGAAAAGTAGTGCTTGTTATTTCCAAACGAACGAGAAGAACCCTAGTAGCACAAAATATTCAATACATATTCATCCAATATTATAGAGATTCAATCTCTTTTTAATATTTAAATATACATACAATGTTTATTTCATATTACGAAAAAAAATATCTCTCTATCGTTCGTGTGCACGGCTCTTGTTCGGTAGAGGAATGAGGGACAAGGGAGAGGAAAGAAAGATGCTAATTAACTCCGTTCGAGGTATCCAGCCCGCGAAGCACGAAGCCGTTTATTGTTGTCTGAAACGCGATACGCGGCGCAGAGGCGGCCACGCGTGATCTCGCATTGACGAAGAAAACCGGGACGCGGCCGCGCGCTTATGCACCTGCCTGCTTTTGCGATTGACCGTGCGAGATTTAAGCCCGATTCACACTGGCGTCTCACGTCTGAAATGATATTATTTGAAATATTATTTCAAATAACGTTTTATTTTATTTTGTAATTATTTCTACATTGAAATATTGTTACATTATTTTCTGATCTTTTGAAATAAATCTTAAAAATAATTGTGTTCTCATTCTCGAATTCTCTATCCTACATAGCACGTGACGCCTAATGACGCCTTGAAGACGGCTTAAAGGCGCCTAAGACCTAAAATAGCTGTAAAATAGGCGTCTTCAAGTAACACCCCTCTTCCATCTTCCTCAAGATACAGCTTTTTCAGGTTAGGAACAGAGAAACAATTGTTAGCCAATAGCTGGGCTTAGCACGCGAATGTTTTGGTTATTTTTATCGACTCTCCTCGGTGAACTGACTATAGAGTCCCCTTGTCGATTCTAATGTCCATGTCTGGACTTACAAGCCAAGTGGTGAATCTGAGATTCTATAACTGTTCAAGCAGACGACGGAAAAGGGACAAGCGTATGCATATGGTTTCGCCGTTGGTAATCGGTAAATCATACACCGGTGAAGATCATGTCCCGTAATAATACACGGGACACTAACATGAATCAGCCTTTAGTCTTGTGTACCGTTGCTCGATTCTCGAAATGCGTCGAGTGAATGGGCAAGATTCCATTGTTAACTCGGGAACCGGTATCCGCATTCGGTATACATACGTATACGCCTGGAACGATACGATCGAGTCCATGCCCCTAGAGATTAACCTATAGAGGACGGGCAGGTGTTTTCGTGACTTTATGTATATTCGAGTTGGAACATTTACAGAATTTCTTGTAGTGTCATACAGGGTGTAACAAAAATGTTGGAGGACCCGGATATGGGAGACTCGCGAGGTGATTTGAAACAAGTTTAACCTAAATCTAGGCTTCCCGTCCTCTACAGGTTAACTGCTCGCGGCTCGAATCGCGGTAATCGAACCGTGTCACGGGGTGTTTTCGAATCGCGCGCATTTTCAAATGGCACACGTGGTCCGACGTCGGCGAATTCGAGGGACGACGGCCAGAAATGTCGAGCGTTTCGTGCATTCGAGGCGCGTGGAGCGACGAGACGACCGATGCGGCGGTGCAGTCAGAATGCAAACGATGATTAAAAGGACCGAGAGCTTCGAAGATATTTCACACGAAGAGTCTCGGTTACATTCTTGAAATTCCACGGATCACTTTGCTGCTGAATACGCCTCCGTGCTTTTCATGCCTGTTCCTGTTATCTACAAGAACTTAGATCAATGGACCTAAGATCCATTACCAACCATACCACTGTTCACCTATGCTCGTCTTCGAGATGTTTCTACTTCGGTACAGAATTAAATACCGCGCGATAAATTCTCGGTACGTCGTTTCTGCGGTCGATCGGTGCTCTTGGTTCGCTCCTGAGAAAACAGAGAAGCCGGTATTCGGTTCCGTGGTTTCTCAGATTTTTTCCAATAACGGTGATCCGCGTCCTTGCGGATCGTACGAGCGCGGATTTACGTAACAACTTCGCTTAGAAGCAGGAAATCACCGGACGAATCAGCAGATCCAATTAAAAAGCGGCTTCGATCCTCCAGCCGTGTCGGTTCGCTAAAATTCTCGAGTAACATCGTACCACTACCTACACGCGTGCGAGGCGATACGGATCCGCGAATCGATCAAGCCTCTCGTCCTCCCGTTTTGTAGCGAGCCAAGATAACAGAATTGAAACAGGTTAGGGAAAAGAGACGAGAGCCTGAAATCCGGTCAGCCGTGAGACCGCTCGGCAGCGGAAGTAGTACACTCTGGCCCGAAGACCAACGCCCGTCCGTCCGTTCCCTCCTTGTTTATGCTCATTTTGCAGTCAAGGTCTCACGAATCACATACTCTTGACTACTCATGCTTATATTTGATATCCTTACAAACAATGATTATTCATCGATTCTATATTTTTTTCCTGGGTTTTAAGAATTTCGAATCAAGAAAAAAAGTGCAAAGCTTTGGAAAATTCTTGGAACTTTCGTGGGTTTCGAAGTTTCAACGTTTCGAGAAACTCATCCCTAGGTTTATCCTTCATTCCATCGTTTCCTATTCATAGTGCTGTGGAACGACAATCATTGACTCCCAAGTAGAGATACGTAACGCATCGTATTTCGCGGACGATCGCGCGACTAGAAACGGTTCGACGATCAAGGATGAAAGATCCAAAGGGAATGGTTTTTTTTTTGCTCCCGAGCATTCTTCTTCATCGGTGTCCAGTGTATCGGGTTCTCTCATCCTCGACGATCGGCGAGCGTGACGTCGCGGAGTCGTGGCCGGTGCTCCTAGGTATCGAACTCGTACGACGACTTTACACGTCTCTCTTGTGGGAACGTTCGAGATGCGTGCAACCGCAGTAACCGTCCGTCCGTCTGTCCCTCCCTCCCTTCGTATCCACGGATTCATGTATCAAGAAATGTGTGTTTGTGTCAGCGGTAGTGCATGTGCAAGGAGGATGATGCACCCGTTTCCGAACTCGATCCCGAGCTCGTTTTCGTCATCGAAAGAAATGGTTCGCGATGTTCCTTGCGAATAGCGGCAATCACTGTATAATATGGCGTTCCCCTAATACGGGTAGAAAATTGGGAAAATATTTGAATAACACGGGATTCTTACAACACGGTCAGAGAATGGAAGAATCCGTCATATAACACGGTCAGAAAATTGAGGGACCTCCGTATAGACACAGTTAGTAAATTGTGTAGAACAGTGTGATTGCGTTAGTTCTTACAACCTAACTCTCTTTCTTGGATATTATATGTCGACTGCATACCAGTTCTTAGTTTCCTATAAGCGACAATTTCTAATAGCCTAAACACCGTGTTCTACAGAGGTTCTACTTGTTCAAGATGCTACGAAAGAAATTGCCTCTCGAATTGCTCAAGACAAGCCTGTGAATTCTATGCCAACATTACACGAACTATAAAAACTGGCAACATTCGAGTATCCGTTGTCCATAGGATATCTGGTTCGGTAAGTTTCACGGATGGCCCGTTCGCGATAACTGCGCTCATTCAGGTAGACTGCACGATCTCTGCGTAATCCAACTTCCTCGTTCCCCAATTTGCCACCGTTCTCTTTCTCCTACCCTTTCTGTTTCGTGTCGAAGAACGACGAGCTAGTTCCTACCCGAAAACACTCGGAGTCTTCCGGTTGGGAAGAAAGAAACGCATTCCTTCCTGTTTGATTACGATTCGACGGGCTACTGAGACAGATCAGAATTCAATTAGGGTTGACGCGAATGGTAACAATGTGCTCCTGTTTCCCTAGTACAGGGGACTCTAACTATATTGCCACTAAACATATTGCTACGCGACGCGTGGGATGTTCGCGAAGTGGTAGACGCCGATTTTTCCGGAACTTTGCTCGATTCTTTATGGGACCAACCTGAGAATGTTGCCGTAACTGGTTGGTGATACTTTTTGACTTTGTGGGAGAAACCACTCTGATTATCCGGAGAAATAATTTTTTCCAAAATCTCTTTCTACCTATATACGGACAACTAAAAACGATACAAAATTTATCGAAACTTTCTTTCGATATCTTCGATACTTCACGAGTTACAAGCATACGAATTCGCTATCCTACCACTTTGCGTACGCCGGCGCACCAGCACGATCCAGTTTCTGCGCAGACGCTGAGGCTACGATGATAGAACTTAGCATGGAGGGGGCTCTGAATTCATTGCCATTTTACTCCCCTGCAGCCCCGACCATGGCAATATAGTTACAGTCCACTGTTCCAGTCGTCTGGATTGCACGAGGTTATACCTCGCAATTTCACGTTGTTACATGTAGCGCGCGGAACGCGATAGATCGCCGATCATCCGAACTAGTTATGTAAATAGCTTTGCATTCTTGACGCGATCTACGAGTGTATCGCGAGTCACGTCGAGCGCGGTAAGAATAACCGTGGGCACGCATACACACACGTCCTGTCTCTCGATTCTTTTCCCCCGTTCTCTTCTTTCGTGCATTCCTCGTCTGTCGGTGTAACCGCGAGCAAAGCCTCTTCTTTTCAAACGCCGATCCACGAGCGACACACAATGGTCCAGAATGAAAATTTAACAAGTCGAATGGGGTCGATAAGAAATTTCTATTACTTTCCCGAAAAACGTACATCAACTTATTATTAATCAATGAGAGATTTCTTCTCAAACCCTTTCGTAAATACCGTTATTTTTTCGATTTCGACCACGTTGCGTACGACGGTGCACCAGTACGACCCAGCTTCTGCGCAGGTGTTAAGGCCGAGGCTATGACGATAGAACATGGAGGGGGCTCTGAACTTATTGCCATTTTACTCCCCTACAGCCCCGACCATGGCAATATAGTTAGAGTCCACTGTAACAGGAAGGCCCCCCCTAACATCATTTCCGGCTACACGCTCGGGAATGAAACTGTCTTCGAGGTTTCCGTGCCGCGATTATAAACCTAGCCCCGTGGAAACGTCTAGGAAACTGCTAATTGCGACCGTGTGTGGATTCGTAAAGAATGCTTAAGCAGCCGAACCATAGTCTCTCCCCCTCTGGGAACCGACGAACACAATTCCTTCATT